TAATGTATAATTTTTAATATGCTTATATTTTATTAAAAAAAAGAATAATCTATTTTTAATAAAAATAAAATAAAAAGACAAAGCTTTAATATTATAAGTGTACTCTTTTCAATATGTCAAGGACAAAAACTTGATGAAAGTAAATAAATAAGTAGAATTTTATTAAAGAAGCATGAAAAAATAAAAAAATATATATATATGTATTAAAAAAAAATTGGAATGGCTATTGCCAAAAGACAATAAAACTAGAGATTCTTGAAACTAAACAAGAAGCAAGAAAAGAATTGATAAGAGTGAAGAAGGCTTTATTCTTACCTCTATAAATATTATCTACCTAAGAGCTATGTGGCAATGTTTTATAGGACTTCCAAAATTTCTTAACTTTGCACAATACGTATCTTAACTTATAAGGCAAGTTTCTTATATGGATGCCACATAGTTAGCTTGTTTTACAAGCTACCAATATTTGTAGCATGTAGTTAATTTATTAATCAAGTTTTTCACCTATCCATCAACTACAAATACATGTAAAGTCAAAATAGAGTCTATGAAGCTTCTAGAAAGCTTGCCTAAAAGATATTATGAAATTGATCTAATTCTTTTTATTTCTATCTATTCATATTATTTAAGTAATAATTATAATAAATATATTTCTATAATAATAATATCTAATTTAATAAAAAATACTTATAAATAATTTGAAAATTTTATTTATAATTTAAAATAAATTCCGTATTAATTTTTAAACCTATAACATATACTTAGAAGTTTTAAAAGTAAAAAATATGATTTTAAGAATTCTTCTTATTTATGATTTTTTAATACTAAACAAATTCACATGCTATGATGTAATATAAAACACTAAATCAACTCACTAATTATTTTAGCACAAAAATATGTATTTAGAATGCTTAAAATCACAATATATGGTGAATAGTATAAAAATCTTTAGACAAACAAAAAATTAGATTATTAATTGTAGAAATGAAATCTTAATAAGTCTTAGAGGCAATTATCTAAGTTGATTTAGTATTTTTTACTTATTATTGAGTATTAAGAGTTACTTATTAAGATAAATATTTATAATGGCTTTTCTTTACATAGATTATTTATAAAAAACTATAAATGTTAGTTAGTAGCTAGAAGAAGTATGAGAATGAACCTTGTATTTTTTTTAATTATTTATATAAAAAGTAGGATTTTAAAGTGGATTTAAATTTATTTTATTATTATAAAAAATCATCAAGATAGGAAATTATAGCTTTAAACTGATATTAGCATTGTAAAATCATTATAAGAATTTTTAGAATTTATTTAGATTTTTTAGAGCAATTTATAAGACTTTGATAAAAATAAGTTTTATTACTTTAGAAGCCATTATGGAGAAATAGAACAAGATTTGAAGGCCACAAAAGGTTCTTAGGCTAATTGGATATTTTAAAATACCATAGAGAAGTCAAAGTTATAAAAATATTGGATCTATTTGTAGAAAATAGAAGGATCAACAGCTAGTATAGTCCTTGTAAGAAAAGAGGGATATAAGTCCTATATAGGTTGTAGCACCTTGAAGGTACTTGGGAGGATAAGACCAAGGCCTCGTAGCCTCTCTAAGATATCTTTATATACTAGATGTGAGCCTTAGTGAGGTTCGAACCTTTGATCTATAAGCAAGTTATCCTTGAGGTAAAATATTTTCACTTAACTTTTTATTTATTTACTTGTTAATATATATATTATTTTTATATTTTTATATTTATTGAATAAAAACTCAATGGACATGTTGGATCAAGTTTTGAATTGTATAACTCCTTAATTTCATTTATTTAAATTATTTTGTCTTCATTCTTCTTTTATTCTAACTATTTACTTTTTCCACTTCATACTAATAATTACAAGCAACTCTTAATTAAAACCATCTTGTAATGTGAGTTGACAAGTAAATTTTACACTCATATGTGATTAATTTTAGTTACTTATATATATTCTAAAATTATTTGTGATAGAAATAATATATAAAATAATAGAATATCATAATTTTTTATCATTATATCTTATAAAAATAAATTATAAACTAATGGACTAGCTGAAGGTATCTTAGTTGCCATATCTTCATATTTAATCTTAACCATTATAACATATATAGGTAATACGGAGGAGGTACCAAAAGAAACATAAAAGATGGATAAAGAAGCTTGGAAGAACTTAGCTTTGTATATAAGAAAGTACAAAGGAATAAAGATCAAAGTTTAAAAAAATTTGGCAAAGTTAGTATAGAAGCACAAAGAATATTGCAAGGCTAGATGTTCCACATAAAAAGAAGTTATAAGTCCTAACTACCTTCTTGATGTTCTCGTTGTGTTCAAGCTTCAATATACCAAAGCAATTGAACTAATAGAGGTGGAATAAAACACAAGGAAAGACTGGTTATATGAATTGGGTCTGTTAGTGTCACAATTAATTATACTCGGGCTATCTAAAATCAATTATCAAACTACAAAACACCAAGGCTTACTACTTCCATCTTAATTCAACACATAATCCATTCTATGACTATCAATTCAACAATATTTCCATATTCTTATCAGTTCATCTCCCACTTACTCTCTTTGTCATTTATATATATTCAATTACTGATCTTCAGCTTATTTATTCTATCCATTTTCTCAATTCATCACATAGAATTCAATATCTTTACATAACACAATACAATTCGATAATCTCAATTCTCAAGTTCACAAATTTTCTCCAAATCGGTCAGTCCAAAGTCATATTCCACAATAATCTAATCATAGTTTCAACAATACTTCTTTCAATCACAATTCTTCATAAGCAAATAATAAAAGCAAAGATAACAAAGAGGTAGCACCAAGCTTGTCCCGGCTTACGACTATCACAGTCTCGCTTTGATTTCCCTTTTTTCAACCTCTTTATCCTATGAAAACATTGGACCATCGGCCAATAGATTCCAAAGGTTATGACCCTTTGAATTCTTAACCATTTGTTCCACTAACAACCTACTGTTACCAACTAAACTGCCTAACCATAAGTATAATTCTCAAGGTTGGCAATAACCAACTAGTAACTTACCACAAAATTTATTTACCTATTCTACACTTCCTTTGATACTAATGATTAATTTCCAATATTAAACTTTAACACTCAAATAATTTTACTACTTCTATTTTTTTTGTAACATTTTCTTTATTACTTGTCTTTATCTACTAGACCTCTTATATTAAAGGTGGTTGTTTAATCAAATCCACATTTTTGCATTCATGTTAGTCACTTCAATCATTGTGCATTTTTGGTGAATTTACTACTCTTTTAGATTTTTCTTCCTAATTGTAAATTGATCTTAAAGAAAATAAAGAAATGTACTTCCATCTTTTCTACCATTGTTTTGTTGTAAGTTTGTACTTATGGATCAAAACAAAAAGATCCAAAAATAAATAATTATTACTTTATAATTCATGTATTAAAAAATTAACAATGATGCAAATTCATATGAAACTCATTACATTCTAATGGAAAGCTATAGAGCAATCTAAGGCAAAAACTTTGGAAAAAAGATAATAAGGATAATTTGGTCTTAATTCTACAACAACATTTATAGATTAATTTTTTTAAATAATCGAATGTGATTTTTTTTTCTAAGTGATCTAATATAAATTTTATATTTGTTGACTTTTTGCATACATTATTAAGACATGCTGAATCAATAAATCCAAGCCAAGATATATATATATATATATATATATATATATATGATATATATATATATGATATATAGAGGAGCACTAGAAGGAATGCAAGTGACAAGCAAATATGCTTGGAAGAACTTGGTGGAGCATAAAGAGAAGTGTAGGGACAACAAGAGAAGGATGACCTTCAACCTACTAATTATATATATCATATTCCACTAACATTTCAATAACTAATAATCAAACATAATAACTAAATTAAACTTTAATGCACATATTTAATTTATATCCATCTATTGATTTACAAAAATCGATTTGGCTATAAAAAAAATCAAAAAAATAGTTTAAAAAGTAAAATCAAATATTATCATTCAAAAATTTATTTAAAAATCAAAATATTAATTATTCTTTTTCTTTTTCACAAAGTCATTTTAAATCTAATCTAAACATATCTTAAATATCTACAAAAAGATCAAAACCTTTTGTTAGAAGTCACTCTTTTATTATTACACAAAAATACATAATAACTTCTGAATTAAATTTCTTTTAAATATTCAGCCTCTATCCACCCTTTCACTAGATAGTTGTGTTAAAATGAAAAATTTATAATAATTATTCTTAAAATAAGTCAATTAATTTGTGATTTTATATCTAACAAAAGCATAATATAATAAATAACCCTTACTGTTTTCAAGATAAAATTGAGTCTTTAACCTTTTTGAATACTTAATCAATTCCCAATTTATCTTTTTCAAGTCATTGTTTCTTTTGATTATTTGATATCCATTTGCATAGATGGCATCAACAAAAACTTTGGATAGAGATTTTTGTTGTTTAAACAATATATACAATCATTATTAAGTTTCTTTTAATTCTACATGATAAGATTGAGATCTGCAACCTGAGACTTAAATTGTAGTGAAGCATGAATTTACAGCGAATTCGGACACGAAAGCAGCATTGACTTGTTATTTGTCACATGGTGGGGGCGGTGTTTCCATCCCGTCACCCTGACCTCCTGAGAACCGCCGCATAGCTCCGGGTATGAAGATCTTCTGGTTGACAACCGTTCTGCGTGGAAGACCCGTTCGCTCTTGCCCACTTCAACCTCCTAACCCCGCCCAATCTTCCCGCCAATGCAGCGAAGTGCGGACGAGACGGGTCTTCTCAACGGGCTTTGGAACGGAATGGAAGACTTGGAAAATGCGGGAAATAGAGTGAGAAGTCAGGCTGAGCGTCGGATCCGGTTCTGAAGACCCGGCGCTTGGATGCAAAGGGGAGGGGGACTTGGGATGGAAGTCCCTCTCCATCGGTTTGAGGCATATAGAGTCCTTCCAGGCTTGGGTCTGTCACTGTGTGATATTGTGGTGCTTGCTGTGCTGTGTGTCGGAAACCCTATCTGAGTGTGGAGCGCGGGTGTGTGTCGGTCGCTGTAAGGAGGGGTTTGAGTTTAGAGTGACCGTGGTAAAGGGAGTTCGACGATGTCTGGGCGTGGCAAAGGAGGGAAGGGGCTTGGGAAGGGTGGCGCGAAGCGTCATCGGAAAGTGTTGCGTGATAACATCCAGGGTATCACGAAGCCTGCGATCCGGCGTCTGGCTCGTCGTGGAGGAGTGAAGCGTATCAGTGGGCTGATTTACGAGGAGACTCGCGGCGTGCTGAAGATATTTTTGGAGAATGTGATCAGGGACGCGGTGACGTACACGGAGCACGCTCGGCGGAAGACGGTGACGGCGATGGATGTGGTGTATGCGTTGAAGAGGCAGGGGCGGACGCTTTACGGGTTCGGAGGGTAGAGCGGAAGGGCGGGCCGGGGGTGGCTCAAAATCGACGGTGTTCTTGAACACCACCTCTTTGTGGAATGAGGGATCTCCGGTTGGGTTCTGGTGTGTGTGTGTGTGGGGGGGGGTGTTGCGTGGTTGTTTTTGGGATGAACAGTGGGTATGGGAGCGTGGTGTGCATGGTGCGTTGTCCGTTTTGATGTTGTGTTTTTGCAATGTGTGAGAGAGGGTGGTAGTGTAGGGGGCACCTCGTGGCAGTGATGAGACATATTGTCCGTACCATTTGAGGCGAAAGCTATGCTGAATGGCAAGATCTGAAGCTTCGAGGTGTAGGGTTGTAGCGATGTGATGGTGAAGGCGTGGATGCGTTCGGCAGGAGTTTGGAGCGAGAGCGTGTTGCGTGTTTAGGCGTGTTGTGTGGGAAGATGTGGAGGCATGGTGAGTGATAGTTTGTGTGACATGTTTGTGATGGAGTAAATATCGTACGTTGTTTTCCCCGCAGCAATGGATACA